CCTTGCCAAGCAGCCCAGGGTCAGAACGCACCACAGGGGCACCTGACAGCAGCCACACCACAACCCCATCTGATGCAGCTACAACCATGCCAAGCAGCTCAGGGGTGGCACACACCACAATGCCCACTGGTACTTCCCAATCCATAGTTGAAGGGTTAACTAGCACCATGGGAAGCCCAGCTGCAGCAAGCACAGCCTCATCCCCTGAGAGCCCCCACTCCACTGTCTTAACTGGAGCATCCACGGCCTCCCCCAGTGGCCCTGTGTCTGCCCTCACTACACTGCCATCTGGGAGCTCCCAGCCCAGGGGGACAGTTAAGGCACCTACAGCCTTGCCAAGCAGCTCAGAGTCAGCACACACAGCAGAGCCCTCTGTCAGGCCCCAAACCACGTTGGTGTCCAAGGGATCTACAACTTTCCCAGGCAGCCCAAGTCCAAGACCCACAGCAGTGTCACCTGACACCTCCCAAACCTCAGTCCTGGAAGAGGCATCTAAAACATCACCAAGCAGCTCAGGGTCAGCACGCACAGCAATGCTGTCTGACAGCCCCAAAACTACGTTGGTGTCTGAAGGATCTACACCAATCCCAAGCAGCTCAAGTTCAAGACCCACAACAGTGTCACCTGACAGCTCCCAAACCTCAGCCCTGGAAGAGGCATCTACCACCTTGCCAAGCAGCTCCTATTCAGCACATGTGACAGTTACATCTGACAGTTCCCAAGGAACTACCCTTTCTGAAGGACCAAGCGTGTTCCCAAGCAGCCCAGGGTCAGAACCCACAATAGTGACATCCCCCAGCTCACAAACCTCTATTCCAACCAGAGAATCTACCAGGTTTCCAAGCAGCCCTGCTTCAGCACACACAGCAGAGCCAGCAGAGAGCTCTCGGACCACAGTCCAGACTGAAGGACAGACCAGCCTCCAGACCAGCCCTGAAGCAGCTCACTTGACAGCACCAGCAGATGCCTCCCCAGTCACAGTCCTTCCAGAAGGATCCACAGCCTCCCAGAAAAGCCCTGGTTCAGCCCACACTGCACAGCTGTCTGACAGCCCCCAAACCACACGGGTGCTGGGAGGCTCTACTTTCTTTCCAAGCAGCCCAGGATCAGAGCGCACCACAGAGGCCTCTGACAGCTCCCAGCGCACGGTCCTGTCTGACGTGTCTACAGCCAGGCCAAGCATCTCAGGCCCAGCACACACCGCAGAGCCCACGGAGAGCTCTCCAGTGACAGTGCAGTCTGGAGGGTCCACGGCCTTGCTAAGCA